GTGCTCAAACCCACAAAACCCAGCTCAAACCAAACCCAGAAATTCTCATCTTCATTTCCTGGTTCTAATTTCTCTTCATTTTACTTTTTTTAATCTCTCTCTCTCTATATATAGATCTCTCTCTATATATGTATGCCTCTCTCTCTATATATATATGTGTGTCTCTCTCTCTCTCTATATATAGATGTATGTATATAGATTTGTAGTGTATTGTTAGAACCTTATTTTTGTGTAATTTTTTTCTTGCTCTATCTCTCTATATGTGTATGTACAACTCAAAATGCACAAAATGGGTTTGTTGGTCCATGTCGTATTCTTGGACTCGTTATTTCTTATTGCAAATGCATTTATTCGCATAAAATCATTCCAAAATTACCATAAAAATGAAAACAAATCTTTGCTGCCTTTGCTTGCTTCTTCTTCTCTTGTGGCATCCCTACATTCCATCATTCAATCACCACCCACCCCCACTTCCATGTTCATACACACACACACACACACACACACACACACACACACACACACATATATATATAACAACACAAAAACCATAACTTTAAGCGCAAAATCAGACTTAGAAATTCTCATGTTCATTCCTTGGTTCTAATTTTTCTTCATTTTGCTTTTTTTTTTTCTATCTCTTTGTTTGTGTATGTTTGCCTCTCCCTCTCTCTCTCTCTTTCAATATATATATATATATATAAATGAATGCATGTAGATTTGGAGTGTATTGTTAGAATCTCATTTTTGTGTAATTTTTTCTTGCTCTATCTCTTAATATATATGTATGTATAACTTGAAATGCATAAAATGGATCTGTGGGTCGGCTTCTAGGTCTTGGATTTGTTATTTTTTCTTGCTCAAACCCACAAAACCCACCTCAAATAAAACCCATAAATTTTGGTCTTCATTTTTTGGTTCTAATTTCTCTTCATTTTGCTTTTTTTTGATATCTCTCTATGTCTCTCTCTGTCTCTCGCTTTCTCTCTTTGTATATATATATATGTATGTATGTAGATCTGGAGTGTATTGTTAGAACCTCGTTTCAAGGTAATGTTTTCTTCCTTTATCTCTCTATATATGTATGCATAACTCGAAATGCACAAAATGGGTTTGTTGGTCATTTTCTAGGTCTTGAACTTGTTATTTGTTTTGCTCAAGCGCTAGAAACCCAGTTCAAATAAAACTCAGAAATTCTCATCTTCATTTCCTGGTTCTAATTTCTCTTCGTTTTGCTTTTTTTTTTTATCTCTCTACATATACGTATGTCTCTCTCTCTCTCTCAGTGTGTGTATATATGTATGTAGATCTTGAGTGTATTGTTAGAACCTCATTTCTATGTAATTTTTTCTTTCTCTATCTCTCTCTATATGTATGTATAACTTGAAATGCATAAAATGGGTTTATTGGCCGGTTTGTGGGTCTTGGACTCGTTATTTATTTATTTATTTATTTATTTATTTATTTATGTGCTCAAACCCACAAAACCAAGCTCAAACCAAACCCAGAAATTCTCATCTTCAATTCCTGGTTCTAATTCCTCTTCAATTTACTTTTTTTAATCTCTCTCTGTATAGATCTCTCTCTATATATATGTATGTCTGTCTCTCTCTCTCTCTATATATATGTGTGTCTCTCTCTCTCTCTATATATATATAGATGTATGTATATAGATTTGTAGTGTATTGTTAGAACCTCATTTTTGTGTAATTGTTTTCTTCCTCTATCTCTCTATATGTGTATGCATAACTCAAACTGCACAAAATGGGTTTGTTGGTCCATGTGGTAGTCTTGGACTCGTTATTTTTTATTGCAAATGCATTTATTCTCATAAAATCATTTCAAAATTACCATAAAAATGGAAACAAATCTTTACTGCCTTTGCTTGCTTCTTCTTCTCCTGCGGCATCCCTACGTTCCATCATTCAATCACCACCCACACCCACATCCATGTTCATACACACACAAACACACATGTATATATAACAACACAAAAACCATAACTTTAAGCGCAAATCAGACTCAGAAATTCTCGTGTTCATTCCTTGTTTCTAATTTTTCTTCATTTTGCTTCTTTTTTTTTCTATCTCTTTGTTTGTGTAAGTTTGTCTCTCATTCTCTCTCTTTCTCTCTCTGTATATATATATATATATATATAAATGCATGCATGTAGATTTGGAGTGTATTGTTGGAATCTCGTTTTTGTGTAACTTTTTCTTGCTCTATCTCTTAATATATATATGTATGTATGACTCGAAATGCATAAAATGGATTTGTGAGTCGGCTTCTAGGTCTTGGAATTGTTATTTTTTCTTGCTCAAACCCACAAAACCCACCTCAAATAAAACCCATCAATTTTGGTCTTCATTTTTTGGTTCTAATTTCTCTTCATTTTGCTTTTTTTGATATCTCTCTATGTCTCTTTATGTATCTCACTTTCTCTCTTTGTATATATATATATATGTATGTAGATCAGGAGTGTATTGTTAGAACCTTGTTTCAAGGTAATGTTTTCTTCCTTTATCTCTCTATATATGTATGTATAACTCGAAATGCACAAAATGGGTTTGTTGGTCATTTTCTAGGTCTTGAACTTGTTATTTGTTTCGCTCAAGCGCTCGAAACCCAGTTCAAATAAAACTCAGAAATTCTCATCTTCATTTCCTGGTTCTAATTTCTCTTCATTTTTCTTTTTTTTATCTCTCTATATATACGTATGTCTCTCTCTCTCTCTCTGTGTGTGTATATATATGTATGTAGATCTTGAGTGTATTGTTAGAACCTCATTTCTATGTAATTTTTTCTTGCTCTATCTCTCTATATATGTATGTATAACTCGAAATGCATAAAATGGGTTTATTGGTCGGTTTGTGGGTCTTGGACTCGTTATTTATTTATTTATTTTTGTGCTCAAACCCACAAAACCCAGCTCAAAGCAAACCCAGAAATTCTCATCTTTATTTCCTGGTTCTAATTTCTCTTCATTTTACTTTTTTTAATCTTTCTCTCTATATAGATCTCTATATATATATATGTATGTGTCTCTCTCTATATATATATATATATAGATGTATGCATATAGATTTGTAGTGTATTGTTAGAACCTCATTTTTGTGTAATTTTCTTCTTACTCTATCTCTCTATATGTGTATGTATAACTCAAAATGCATAAAATGGGTTTGTTGGTCCATGTCGTAGTCTTGGACTCATTATTTTTTATTGCAAATGCATTTATTTTCATAAAATCATTCCAAAATTACCATAAAAATGAAAACAAATCTTTGCTGCCTTTGCTTGCTTCTTCTTCTCTTGCGGCATCCCTACATTCCATCATTTAATCACCACCCACACCCATACCCACATCCATGTTCATACACACACACACACACACACACACACACACACACACACACACATATATATATAACAACACAAAAACCATAACTTTAAGCGCAAATCAGACTCAGAAATTCTCGTGTTCATTCCTTGGTTCTAATTTTTCTTCATTTTGCTTTTTTTTGATATCTCTCTGTGTCTCTCTGTGTCTCTCCCTTTCCCTCTTTATATATATATATATATATATGTATGTAGATCAGGAGTGTATTGTTAGAACCTTGTTTCAAGGTAATGTTTTCTTCCTTTATCTCTCTATATATGTATGCATAACTCGAAATGCACAAAATGGGTTTGTTGGTCATTTTCTAGGTCTTGAACTTGTTATTTTTTTTGCTCAAGCCCTCAAAACCCAGTTCAAATCAAACTCAGAAATTCTACTACATAATGTCTTGTCTGGATAGTCGAAAAACTACTGGCAAGTTCTTCAAGGGCCAACAGTGAGGAATAGTGTACTTCTGAACCTCTATCTCCACTGTGTTTTCATCTTATTTTGATTCAACAATAGTTATGGCCCGTCTCTTCAGCAGTTCATCAACTACGATTCTCAAATCGAAACCTACAAAATAGAAAATACTCATAAAAAAAAAACAAAAATAAAGAATCAACAATAATAATAGGATAAATGACTGCTGAAGAAAATATATGAACTATTGGAAAAATTTGCCCATAATAATACCTCGCCATTTTTCTATAGAAAAATAGAAAAATAAAAACAAATATGAAATATATATATATATATATATATATATATAAGCAATCAAAGACCTAGAAACCAACCAACAAACACATTTTGTGCATTTCAAGTTATATATACATATATAGAGAGATAGAGCAAGAAAAAA